ATTCGTGCTCTCGGTTCCAAAACCGAAACTGAAGGGGATTGAAAACTAGAAGTACAACTCGTTTCTCTACTAGTGAAACGATCTATGAAGAAATTACACAACAATGCTTTGGCGCCAAGCAAGCAATTGGTGGCATTGTTTCCCGGCCATGGCTGCGGGCATTAGGGAAACCGCAAAAATTTCGAGCTCGGTCAACGCCAAGGGTAAGACCGTTTCACACTTCAGTGAATAGCCGTCATGCCACATTCTCACGGCAGTGGCACGAGAAATTTTACTCCGTGTCACGTTAGGCGCCACGACCTTTTTAGTGACAGATATGAAATTTTAAACTGTTTTAGTGACATAGATAAAAGACTCATAAATGTAAGGTTTCCTCTGACTTGGTAACCCATGAAATGAATCCATTTGCTGAGAGGGCTAGCACTCATAGCAGGCCAATGATATATGATGATTTACAACCTTCCTACATGGTCATGTTAGAAGTAGTACTTATTGCTAAGCATTCTAATATTAGGTTCTAAACAACGTCATATGCTAAAAAAGTAATACATATTTACGTATGTAAAAAAATATGTATTCTATTAAATATTTTTTTGGAAGAAACAATCCACCTCATATACTTACAATGTTAATTAGTTAGTTACAATTTTGGTAGTTGCCATTGACTAAATGGTGAATTAAATGGCCATTTAGGTCATTTAATCATGTTTAACTTGATTTGTTTAGAACGTTTATATGGTTGTTTAACAGTTTAAACGATACAACTGTTTAATTCACTATTTAGGGCCTAAACAACATGGGTGGCCATCATTTACTATTTAACCATTGTTTAAAGGAATAAACAGCCGTTTAGGCAAACAGTGCTACCGGGTATGTTCTTGACCCAATAGTGAGCCAGTCAAATCACTGTCTAGTGTAGGCATGAACCGATGGTGATTTTCATCCTATCGCTATCGGTTAAGGAGCTAGACTGTGTCACTGGTGGGTCAGGGACTAATAGTGATAGGGAAGTCCTATCATTGTCAATTGCCCTCTACCGGATCCAGTTCCGCTAGTGATCCATGGATCCGAGAAGTATGTTGGGTGACTAGCATTGCTAGGAAGTGACCTGTCGTCTTCTTGGATGGCGCTGAGAGGTGATCTGTTGTCACCGAGCGCACTTGCACCGGCGGTGGAATGGCGCGGCTGGTCTCGGAGGTTTTGCACAGCATGCGGGAAGGCTGTCGGAGCTCCTCGACGGGCTCGGAGTACAGGCATGACATCATGGTCGTTGGACCTCCTCAGCGCGGCGTGGCGTGGCGCGGCGCGGTAGGAAGGGAGATACGTGGGGTGGCACGGTGGGGAGGATGGTGCGGCCATTGAAGCTCCTTGGTAGGGCTCCGAACGGCCGTCGGAGCTCCTCGTTGGGGTGCGGTAGGGCTAAGCATGCACGGTGGTGGCTAGGAGTGCCGGTGAGGTGTCTGGCGGCTTGCATGAGTTGGGCGGCGCACACTGCTGCACTTGTGGTTGGCGATAGAAGCAGGCGTGTGGTGTACGGAAAAGAAAGAAACAGATGGATATATGTGTAACCTGTGACGTGACATAGTGGGTAATCTTTTCCAACTCTACCAAACTTGAGTTTTCAAAGCACCGTTTGAAGTGCTCCACAAAATCCGTGGAGCTACCCTTGATCCATGGATTTTATTTAATTGGCTCGGAAAAATAGATCTAAAGTTTTTTTTTGAATCCAAAGCTGCCAAAGCTCTTCCAAACCAAGCCCTATCGCTGCAGAGCTGGAGTAGAGAAAGAGGATCCGGTACCGGACTTGCCGCTGACGACGCGGGCCACCATGGGGCTACGGTGTGACGTCAGTTCAAAAGCAAACAAAAGCAGCGGAGGGAAGGTGGGTAGAGGAGTAAAAGAGCTTCAGGCCGACCGACAAAAAGCTCCAAGAACCACAAGAGGAGAGAGAGACGCCATGAATTCAAGCCTCAAAGGGTAGCTCTCCTCCATGGCTCCATCATCTCTCTCCCTCTCCCTCACCGTCTCTCTCTCTCTCATCGACGAGCAGATCGAGCAGAGACATGAATCAGCACATGTACGGCGGACTACTATTTCCTGGGAGAACTGGAGCACAGGAGCAGTACTGCCTGCAGGGGTGCCTATCATTCCGTGGGTGTCTTTTGATATGTCAATGACACTGTTCATCTGACTGGCCCTGCATGCCGTACTGTAATTCAGATGGCTGCTCGTCGATCAAGGAGATCGTACTCGTGTACTAGATTTCATTCTGACTGACTGTCGGAAAAAAAACCCTCACATCTCCCGCACCGAAAGAGAAAAAGAAAGTTAGGTCTTGTTTAGATCACCTTCAAATTTTAAGTTTTTTTACTTTCTCTCCGTCACATCAATTTTTATACGCATGCATGAAGTATTAAATGTATTTAGACGCATGCATGGAGTATTAAATGTAGGTAAAAAAAATAACTAATTACACAGTTTGGTTGTAAATCACGAGATAGATCTTTTGAGCCTAGTTAGTCCATGATCGGATAAAGTTTGTCAAATACAAATGAAACGTGCTACAGTGTCAAGTTTTTAAAATTTACAATCTAAACAAGGCCTTACCAAGATCGGCTCAGTTACTTTACAGTATTCCCTGTTTAATGTACTCTCTCCCATGTAAACGGATTCTACCTTACCATGTTTGTTTTTCCATTTTGTATTCTTTTCTCGTTCCGAATGCTCAGCTAAATTTATTTCAGGCTGACGCATATACTATGCAAAGAGAATGAGACAAAAGCACAGAGAAATAACAATTGTATTGTAGACTTTTAGATGCATCTAAACATGATAAGAGAACTCCCAAGATGTAGCAGTAGTTGCATTTGACAACCTAATTAATCTGTTTAAACTCTGTTTATGATTCGTGGATTCAAGGGTTCCAGCTTGCAGGTTGTTATACAATCTGCAAGCCCAAACAAATAGGTCCTTATTGATTATATATAATGACAATCCACATACCATATTGTTAAAATCCAACAATATGCATTCTTCCCCTAGCTTGTGGATTGTAACAGTCCCAAAACTACAATATGCAGACTAAAACAAACATTGCTTTGGATTATTTTGGAGAATACTGATGATCGAGTTACCTTCTTATATATAGAATATGAACAGATCGATGAAACGGGGAACCATTATACTATATATTGCTTATAGTTTGATGTGCATTATTATTATTTTTAATCTTGATGTGCATTATTAGAAGACAACCTGATGTCAGCGTTTGAAATTCTAAAGAAAATGGGCAAGTAGCATGCATCTTCAAGAAAATTTTAAGATAATAACTATATCCACCATCTCTAGCCACAAAAAGAGAGTGTCCTTATTTTGGATGCTGAGTACATCTCAAAGGCACAATTAGAACTATAAAATATTCTATTGTACTTTATTTTTAAGTTTAAAAATGATACTACTTAATAATATATTTTTAAAGACAAGCCTATTCGTACGCTTTTCTATTACTATAAAAATATCTATGTATGGATATATTTGTAGTTAGAGTTATAAAGATATAGTTTTCATATGCATGCAAATATATGGATTCATGAACAGCACATTATTATTTAATTTCAAGGAGCATATCTTATGTAGGCAGCCATCTAATCTATTTTAGTAACCAGGAATATTATGCGTCAATACATTTTTTTCCTTTTATTTATGAGAAACATCCATGAACAATCAGCATATATGAACATATAGATCACAAAAAAAAACAATAACATTTTATTATCTATATATGTGAGCATGAATAACGCACCGTTGGGGAGTCATTACAATAGAAACTCCAAATACAGGTACACAAATGATCAAGACAACATGACATATCATCTCATCATGCTGGCAGTGGCAGCCAGAACAAAAAGATGATGATGAGATCACCCGAAAACAAAAATAGAACGAAACCGAAAGAAAAGGACGAGAGAGACGGCATTTCGCACTTGGAAAAAATAAGTAAAGATGATGACAAGAGAATCAATTATTTGGATTCGAGAAGTCGCTTATGTATGTTATCTATGCACTGTTGCACATTTAATCCAGATATATCGTATTGATACCGACATGTGATGTGCTACTTTTTGGTGTACTCAGCTCACACACATTATTTTTCTTTGCAACTGTAGTACACAAGGCACCCACGAAATTGCTTGTTAAAGAAACAATTATAATATGTATGATAGTTAGGGTGCTGATGATCATTCGTTCTTTGCGGAAGTCAAAACAAAAAACTCTTAATTTTCTTCCTTTTGCAAGGACATGGCAACTAATGTTGTATATATAGAATTGTATATACAATACCGAAGGTTACGTTCATTCAACAACTACTGTTCAAACATTATGTATATATAAGTGTGTGGACCCTAGCTATGTTCTCCGCTCCAACGAGCGATAGTGCCATCTGAGACGACTGAAATGTGAATATGTGATGAATGGGACCTAGAAATTGGAGGGAAAATAAATAAACTAAGAGAATATAATAATGGAGGATGAGAGTCCACAGGCTGCACTACTGAGACAATCATGATTACTTGTTAAGCAGGAATACAGACATCACACTGGAAATCCATATCAATGTGACTGACCCCATAGCACTCAAATCAGCAGAGGGTAAAAGCTTGAGCATGTATCCTCAATTTATATGAAGAAAGATATCATATATGTATATATAATATATCTGAGTTGGAGCAGAGAACTTATCTTTCTCTACTATACTTCCTGCAATGCAAATTTAATTTTTTTTTCTTCAAGTGAACTGATATATATGTTTTGTTTATATGTATGTACTCCTAACATGATCCTACAAGTCCCTTAGACCTCTCTTATACCAACAAACAATAACAATATATAGTTGTAATAATAAGCAACTAAAAAAATTTAAGATGGAGGTGGTGGGATTAGAATTGGGAGGCCGGCGATGGTACGATTGAATCAAAAGGCTAGTAGATGATCTACACTTATCACGAGCTTGGCGCGGATCCTTCTTCCTCCTTCCTTGTCGTCGTCGTCGTCGTGGCCGCGGCGGCACTGCTACTACTTGCACTAGCGCTGGAAGTACTTGCAGGAGGAGGAGCCGAGGCGGACGCCGGCTGTTGTGGTTCACCTGCAGACGGCGATGGTTCGTCGTCGTCGTCGTCCTCCTCCTCACCGCCGGCGGCCCCTGACGTCGTCCCTGCGGTTACAACAGGAGGCGGCGCGACTGGAGGAGCTGCCGCGCTCCCTCGCTTGCGCTTCTTCTTCTCGTAGGGGATGCCGCGCGCCTTGGCCTGCGCCTCCCTTACGTCGCGCAGGTAGATGCGCACGGCTTTGGCCGCGAACGGGTTGGACTCCGGGCGGCCCCCCGACTCCTCGTACGCGGCGCGGAGGCGTCCGATGAGCGCGTCGAGGCTGCCCCAGGCCTGGCGCAGCGGGCACGCGCAGGGCGCCGGCGGGTTGGGCTGGCCGAAGTAGGCGCAGCCCTCGGCGTGCACCTTGGTCTTGCCGAACTGGTCCAGGTAGCGGAGGAACTCGATGACGTGCGCGCCGCTGCAGCGCGCCAGCGTCAGCGGCGGCTTGTGGTTCCGCAGGTACTGCAGGAACGTGTTCCAGTCGCGCCGCTTCTGCGACTCGTACCGGCTCAGCCCCGCCGGTGGCGGCGGAGGCGGAGGCTGCTGCGCCAGTGGCTGCGGCTGAGCCGCCTGGGCCGCCGGCGCTGGGGTTGCTGCCGGCTGTTGCCTCAGCTGCTGTGCTCCGGCTTGTTGCTGCGGCGGCCCTTCCTGCTCTGCCTGCTGCCGGCTCGACGACGAGGCTGCTGCGGCGGCGGCCGAGGACGACAACGGCGACGGCGACGGCCCGGCTTCCGCTGGCGCAGTACTACTGGTTCCTCCGCCACCAGCAGGCGCGTCAGGACCAGGCTCCATGGCCAGCAGCTAGCTCTCCGATCGATCCGTTAGCAGCAGCTCTCCCTGCCCGCAGGTGCCTGCTGTTTAAGTGTAGCCGTGTAGGTGGGAGAGAGAGCGAGGCTCCCGCGCCTACCAGCGCAGGCAGGCAGAGAGAATCAAGCTACGAAGGACGATGGGAGGAAGAAAGCACCTAGCAGGAAGAAAGAAAGAAAGAAGCGGCTGGTTGGGAGGGAGTGTGTGTGGCATCCCTCCTTTGCGGCTTTTGTCGCTGGTTGCGTTAATAGCGTCTCCACTACACGCTGTCGACTGCTTAATCGTAATCATTTCTTTATTACTGCTTCTCTTTTTATTTACCGTTGTTGTATTGTACTGTACGTACCAATCAGTAAGCATGTTCAACTCCTGGGTTCATTAATGTAGCATTTTAGTTTGTCATGTCTTTTGTATCATATTATGTACTCCTATATTTGTATGGGTGTTATTATATAGTATATATTATATACGTAGGCTCTTTTATTTAAAGAAAAATTTTCAACAGTTCAACGTCTTTTTATTTGTCGTGCATATATAGGGTTTTGGATTCATCGGTCGTGCCGTGGAAGAGTACTCTGATTTCATACTCCTCCATATGGATGCACTTTGCTTAGCTAGCCTTTAGTTCGAATGGGATTTTGGATACATCACCGGGGCTGTGGAAGAGTGACGTGGCAGGCTTGGGTCAGGTCAGCTGGTGGGACATCGTGGAATATCATGTCAGCTTCTGAAACTAGCTAGGATACTGCTTTGAATTTTGTTACCCAACAACAGCTGGCTGATATGACGTCGTGAATATTTGTATTGGCATAACGTGTATGCAATGGGATTAATTTCCCACGCGAAAATAGACAAACATCTCTTTAGCGGTGACACACAAACTGCAAAATTCGTTATTCTCAGTGATATTGCAACGTGTTTAGGTTAGGTAATGTTATACATGCATATAAGGTTCAATGAATTGTACGTTCTCGCATTACTACAGCGTAGGGATATAGTAACATCAACTTATGTTACTGTATATTGGAAAAAGTGTTACTAGCTCACTTAGTAACATATTTTCTTTTGTGTTCCAATTGGCTATGTTACAATAGACTGGTTTATTGTAACACAACTACTTGTCTACAGGAACACTTGTCTAGTGTTACAATGATTTTTGTTGTAACACTTTTTTTTTTGCTCTAGTAACACTTAACAATATGGTAGAATGCATAGTGTGGAACACATTTATTTATCTATCGTAACATTTGTATAGTGTTACAAGAATGTCTATTGTAACACTTTTTTTAGTTCTAGTAACACTTCCACATTATGGTAGAGCACAATATATGAAACAAAGCAACATATGGTTTGTAACACTTTTTTATATCTATTGCAACATATTCGGATTATGAAACACATATTTATTTCTCCAATACATATGGCACAAGGATTATTATATAATCGCACAAATATGACACACTGTAAAATCACATAAACCACAAATTTCCATAATCATAGCATGATCCACATATTGTGGAATGATCTCAAACATAGTGCTTGTTTAGAACAAATCGTAGTATATGTACATAACGATATGGCTCAAGAGAGCAAACACACATAGTCCATACTAGAAAGAAAAATTCAAGAACTAGCTATGATTCCTAAAGTCCACTGCTTCTTCCTGTGCGCATTGATGTAGGAATTCAACCATTAATCATTTGAACCTGCAAAGAAAATTTAAGTTGTAACATTACAAATTAAGGCACATATATACATTGATGTAAAGTTAGGAAAGCTAGTTTTGAACATACAAACATCGAAGGCCAAGCAATTTGGACTCCTTTGGCATGAGCATCACCAATATTGTCGCACCCAAGCATAGGCCTCACTAATGGCTCATCTTTTGTTATAGGATGATTGATACGCACTTTGTAGAATTGACTTCCTATCTTAACTCCACCAACAAGGGCTTCTGGATTAGTGCTCAAGAGAGTTGCATATGCCACATTAGCCTTATTAGGATATTTTGAAGTCATTAGTAGCACTGTGGACCCAACCTACATTAATTTGACATAATCTCTTAGTGACCAGCAACCCTTTAGTTGTACATCGTGATCATGCATTTAGAACAAGTGATATGTTCAACTACCTTCATTAGAGAAAGTCGTTTAGGTGTTTGGCGCCTATAGCTTGTAGCCTTGTCATGAGCCACCTCCTGGTGTGCAATGGTTCTAGTATCTACAAGCCCTCCGTGGTGTCCCTTACACATGTCAAATGAAAGTACAAAATAATAAGACACAAAATCTACTATAATTATAGCAAAGTGTGGTTCATAGATACCTTTTGTTTCTTTGGTATATTATTCTACTTGTGGCGGAACTCCTTTGACAAGAATCAAACTGAACGGAAGAGAAAGGCAATTGTATTTATACACTGTTATAGACATCTTAAATAACTAGCATTACAAGTCTAATATATTTTATTCAATGGTACATTGAAATAGTGTACCTCTGTTGGTGCAAAATCATTATGGAGGTGTCGTTCAAATATTGCCTGTGCTTCTGCTTCTTCTACTTCCTTGTCATTATTATCACTTTGGCACTGATTCCAATTCAAAATCGTTCAAATGATAATTAGTAGGTAAAATATTAACATGTACTAAACTAAGAGTATATTGTTGTTCTTAAATACAAGAAACCAGTTGATAACCTTTTCTCCAGATAAAAGTACATTGTCATCATCACTAAATTCAAACTCACATGTTTCTTTATTCTAGTAAACAGAAAAGACAATAGCATTAGCTGTTATAAAAATCCTTTATGGATGCATAAGCATTAAATTCACAAGCAAGGGTGACTTTACCAATTCATCCCTATGTTTGAGGAATCCCTCATTCTGGTTGGGTGCACCACACTGGGCTCTCTAAAATTTTGAAAGGATATTAAAGCCAAAATACTAGTTTAGGTGAAAACATGAAAAATAGTGCAAATACCTTTCTTTTAGAATTCAGTACTTGATTCTGAGAATTATTGTGATCACTCCTAGCACAATTTCTCTAGAAAAGATATAAAGTTTGAATAACGCATTTCAATACAGAGTTATAAAATTAAGCTGTACATTCTTACCATTGTTGCTTCTTGGTTCTCATTGTGCCTCTGATTGTTTTTTAGTTCTTCGATAACTTTGTCTTGCATTCTAGAATGCTCTTTGAGTTGCCTTATTTCCTCCAACATGTGAACCTCTACATCAGATGATGAGCCATCTAGTGAAACTATATTAATGTCCTTAAAATGGTGTGTTTTTCGACCATAAACTTGTTTAGGAACCGGAAGCAATCCCATGCCGTGCACTTGTCCAGCTTTTTCTTCTCCCAACAACTGATGTAATGCATCACCTTCCCTTGCAACTCTGCCCTCACTATTTTGTGCTAACTCTGGTTGTGTGTCTAGGAGATTTTCCAATTGAACCTACAACAATGAAATCCAGACATCAGAAAACAGAAATAATTATATATTGCAAAAAAGTTCCCATGTGCATGTAGCATACCACTGGCTCATTTATCCCTTTTCCCCTTTTCCTGTGAGTGGCTAAATAAACCTTTGCTCTAAGTGGCTGTTTTTTTCAGGATCAGCTTGCCTCTACAAAAATAGTAGTAAAGGAAAAGCAAGAAGAATCATATATAATTTTTTTACGAGAAGATGTACTCACCATGTCCTCAGACAACGAGCATAACTCTTTGTACCTAGACTTTAGGCATCGTACATCACAACTTGCTCGGAAACTTCTAAACTTTTTACCACAGCCTCTACATGCGATGACATGACACCTCGACAAGTTTCGTGATTTTTGGACTTCGTTTGCATTTTATATAATTAAAAAACACTTTTTAACAAGTTGGTGGTCATGTTTCGTGAAACAGATATTCGAAATTTCACGAATGTCCCTGCACACGGCCTCAAAATACACTCAAAAACATGAATACCATTTTTTGAATCGCTAAATTCTAATATTTCATGCACCTGCAGTTCAAATTTACTTTTTCAAGAAAAATTCAAGTAAACATAAAAAATTTAAAAAATATACCAAAAAGTCATAGAAAAGTTCCAAATTGGAACATGTGCTTCAAGGTACTGTATAAATGCCACAGAAAAAATTTGAAAAAAAAAAAAAAAAAAACTTTGCCGAGTGTCGGAATTGGCACTCGGCAAAGGAACCTCCTTGCCGAGTGCCAAGCTTGCAGCACTCGGCAAAGAATATTCAGAATTTTTTTTCATCTTTCGGATTAAAAGAAACCCCCCTGAATTTCTTTGCCGAGTGCCCGCATCTCGGCACTCGGCAAAGGGCCACCCCACTTAACCCTAGCGGGCCGGACGGCCCGCTCCCACTCTCCCACTCTCCCTCTCACATCCGCGCGCCCCGGCCCCGCCCCGCCGCCGCGGACCACCGGCGCCGCCGGACCTCCGCCCCGCCCCACCGCCGCCCGACCTCCGCCGAGCCGGCCCTGCCCCGGCCCCGCTCCGTTGTCGGATGCGGACCCACCGGTGGTGCCCTGCCCCGGCTGCCCCCCGCCCCTGAACCGTCGGAGTGGAGGAGAGGAGGAGCAGGGGAGTAGAGGAGAGAAGGGAGGTGGAGGAGAGGAGAAGGGAGAAGGAAGAAGGAGAAGGGAGGAGAAGGAGAAGGGAGGAGGAAGGAGAAGGGAGGAGGAGGAGCCTCGGCCGCCGGCCATGCCCCTCGCCGTTCGTCCCCGCCGTCATCCCCGCCCCTCACTAGAGACAAAGGTGACCCCAGCACTGCGTCGCCCGACTCCACCGCCACCCAAGGTATAAAGCCCCCCCGGTTGTCGGCCTTCGTGCCTTGTATGTCATTGACGGCCTTCATGCCGTATGTGGATGTGTGGGCCTTCATGCCGTACGTGGATGTGTGGGCCTTCGTGCCGTATATATGCTGTCGGCCATCGTGCCGGCTTTTTTCTTGTAGGTTTTGGAAACCTTCCCGTACAGGGGAGGTTCTGCCGAAATTTTTAACTTATAGTATTATAATTCTTCTTTTGCAGAGCAGGACCCGTCGGAGGGGACCCGGAGTAAGTAGGCGACCCCGATCGTCTTTGTCGGCGCTGCGGTCCTGCCTCCACAGCGTCGCCTCACCACTGCCCCGCTAGCCTGACTCCACCGCCACCCTAGGTATAAATAACCTCTCTTCCTTATCATTGTAGTAGATCGGTGTAACCCAGTTAGGCGTCTCCCGTTCGAAACAGATACAGTTGGAGGTATGTGGATCTTCGCATATCTAAGACCGTATTTGTTTCAGATTGTCCACTTTTTTGGATAGCCCGCGGATGCGTAGATGGGGTAGTTTTCATGTTCTGCTTTGATCCGAGATAGAGTTTCGGCACCACCTCCCTGTTGTTCTCCGGATACACACTCTCCCTTCTAGGACGTGTATCGGGAGAACAGCAGGGAGGTGCTACCAAAATTCTATCGTGGATCGAAGTAGAGCATGTAAACTAACCTCATCTACGCATCCGCGGGTGGGATTAGGACCTATCCTCACCCATTAGACAGTAGGCACGCCATTCAGATGCAATTGGTGGTTATATTACTCGCTCATGTATATGCTAGAGGATGGATAACCATGAGTGGATGTACATGGGCCGCCCAAGTCAGGCTAAAATCACCCCTAAATGGATGGACAAGACCGAGGGTTTCTTGAACCAAGCATTTGGCAAGGCAACTAATGGAGCGAGAGACACATTCTGTCCCTGTAGCGAATGTGGAAACAGGAAAAGAAAAACAAGGAAGATCATGGGGGAACATCTTTGCAAGTATGGATTTACGCCAAACTATACCCGGTGGGTGTTCCATGGTGAAGCCCATCGTACTAGAGAGGAGGTGGTGAGACCACGCTTGGAGGCATTTGATGCTGATGGCGGGGTAGCAGGATGGTTAGGTGACTTTCATGAAGCAACGTTCGCTGAAAGACCTACGGAGGAGGAGGAGAAGGAGGAGGAGCCAGAGCCAACCAGAAAGGCGTTCTACCAAATGTTGTCTTCGGCACAGAAGCTCCTACACGAGAAGGCAATGGTTTCTCAACTAGATGCCATTGGACGCCTAATGGGGTTGAAGTCCTAGTACAACATGAGTCGAGCCTGCTTCGATGGTATGTTGGCAGTTATTGGTGGGCTGCTTCCGGAGGGTCATATTCTACCGAGCAGCTTCTACGAGTCACAGAGACTCCTTCGTGCACTTAAGATGCCGTATGAGCAGATACATTGTTGTTCGAAGGGGTGCGTCCTATTTAGGAAAGATCACAAGGATGCAAAGTACTGTCCAAAGTGTAAATCCTCTAGGTATGTGGAGGTAGACAAAGGTGATGGCCAGAAGGAGCAGCTTGAGATCCCCATGAAAGTCCTACGGCACCTTCCGATCATACCGAGGCTCCAACGGCTATTCATGACCGAGGAGTCCGCGAAACAGATGACATGGCACAAGAATGACATTCGATACAATCCTGACAAGATGGTACATCCAGTTGATGGTGAAGCATGGAAAAGCTTTAATCGCAAGCATCGTGACAAAGATCTTGAGGCCCGTAATGTACGTGTTGCGCTAGCAACGGATGGGTTCAATCCTTATGGAATGATGTCGGCCCCATACACTTGTTGGCCTGTGTTCGCTATCCCCCTCAATCTCACCCCTGAGGTCCTCCTTCAACGACAAAACATATTCTTGACGTTGATAATTCCTGGACACCTGGGAAACAAAATGGGTGTGTACATGGAGCCTATTTATGATGAATTGATCAGTGCTTGGAATGAAGGGGTATGAACTTATGACCGAGCTACAAAGAAAAACTTCAAAATGTATGTTTGGTACCAGTACTCCTTGCATAACTTCCTGGTGTATGGGATATTCAGCGTCTGGTGTGTCCATGGGAAGTTCCCATGCCCTGTATGCAAGACAACTCTAGAGTTCATTTGGTTGAAGAAGGGTGGCAAGTTTTTGTCGTTCGACAAGCATCGACATTTCCTCCCTCTTAATCATGCATTCAGACAAGACACCAAGAACTTCACGAAAGGTGTCAAGGTGACCGACCCTGAACCTCAGAAGATGATTGGTGCCTAGGTTCATGCTCAGATAGATGCTCTCGTGGTAAATCCATAGAAAGATAGTCGAAAGAAAGATAATCCAAAGAAAGATTGCTTTGTGGGATATGGTGTCGAACATATGTGGACTCATAAGTTGGGCTTGGAGAGGCTTCCCTATTTTGATGACCTTCTCCTTCCACATAATATAGATGTAATGCACACTGAGAAGAATGTCGCCGAAGCACTTTGGGCAACACTCATGGACATTCCTGACAAGACAAAGGACAACCCTAAGGCTAGAGTGGACCTGGCAACGCTATGCGATAGACCAAAGCTAGAGATGCTGCCTCCAAGAGACGGCAAGCCATGGAAAAGGCCTAAGGCCGATTACATCTTAGAAAAGAAGCACAGGACGGAAGTGATACAATGGATGCAGACGTTAAAGTTCCCGGATGCGTATGCAGTGAATCTGAGGAGGGGAGCGAACCTAGAGACTGGCTGAGTCTTAGGGATGAAGAGTCATGACTACCACATATGGATTGAGCGGCTTCTTCCATCGATGGTTCGAGGCTACGTCCCTGAGAATGTCTGGAAGGTGCTGGAAGAGTTGAGCTTTTTCTTCCGCCAGCTTTGTGCCAAGGAGGTATCTATGAAAGTGGTTGAGGAGTTGGAAAAAGCGGCACCTCTGTTGCTCTGTAAGTTGGAGAAGATCTTTCCACCTGCCTTTTTCTTGTCGATGCAGCATTTGATTTTGCACCTCCCGTCCGAGGCATGAATGGGGGGGCCCATGCAGAACCATTGGTGCTATCCAATCGAGAGATGTCTAAAGACTATTCACAAGAAATGTGGAAATAAAGGCAGGATTGAGGCTTCCATTGCCGAGGCATTCATTCATGAGGAGGTGTCAAACTTCACAACAACATACTATAATGAGAACCTTCCTAGCGTGCATGATCCACCCGCTCGGTACAACGAGGACGAAAATGAATCGACCCTTAGCCTTTTCAAAGGGCCACACGGGAGAGCAAGTGGAGCGACCACAAAGACCTTGAGCTATGAAGAGTGGCGCAAGATCATGCTCTACGTGTTGACCAACCTTGATGAAGTGGAAACGTATCTGGGGTAAGTTCTCAACAAACTTGTTACATACTCCATAACTTTTGTACATCCAACAACATTGTTCCTTGTCGGTACAGGGAATTTTTTGATGAATCCTGGCATCATTCAAGGCCACCTTCTGACCATGAATGAAAGACCCTTCTTCAACATGGTTCGCCTGATTTCATTACATGGTTCCAAAAAAAGGTACCGGCCAACTTAGCTCTTACTAAGTTTGATGTTCCAAGTTGCCTGATTTCATTTCTCTCCTGCTTGAACTTGCAGTGCCAAAGGGATGTGTCTATAAGTGCTGAATTACGACATGTGGCCAATGGCTTTGACTATAAGGTCTTGTCATTTAACGCTTATGACGTGAATGGATATCGCTTCCACACAACAAGATACGAGCAGAGTTGTCCCAATCTAAGGACCATGAATACCGGAGTATTTACGCCCGACACTGATTAGGAGTATTATGGGACAGTTGAAGAAATATACAAGCTCGACTACCGTGGTTCCAAAGCACTTA